CTGGGTTGAATAGGCTGATCAAAGTAGAAAGCTGGTAGCAAAGAAAAATTTGTTCCTAAGAGAAACTGTTTTAGAGAACAGGAATAAAGAAAACAAGACTTGCTAAAGATGTTTTAAAACTACTATTAAATAACCAGAACTGTTAGATCACTAAATATGAAAATGCAAATCCTAAAAAAGAGAAGTGATAGGGAGGAAAATCGGCTGAGTTAGGGTCTGAAACCACAAGGAAAAAACTCAGTAATTGTTTTAGGTGGAATTACATTAGATTCATTAATTTTAGGGAACACACTGTATTCCCATCTGGAAAAAATTGCTTGTACCATATACAGTTTATACTCAAATATTTCCTCACTTGATAAAACTGCCTATAGACGTGAAATCACTATGCAAAGGGAGGCAACAGAGCTGTAGTTAAAATATAGACTCTGGTCAGACTACCCTGGACAAGTTTCATAATTTCTCTGTTCTTCAGTTTCTTCATGTGCCAAATGGAAATAAACATTTCCTGTATCATAAGATTTTTGTGAGGCTTAAATAGTTAGCACATGAAAAATACCCAGAATTGTGCCCAGCACAGAATAAGTATGACATATTAGCTGCTGCAGCTGCGGCTCTTCCTCCTCCACCTCTTCTTCCTCCTCCTCCTCTTCTTCCTCCTCCTCCTCTTCTTCCTCCTCCTCCTCCTCTTCTTCCTCCTCCTCCTCCTCCTACAGCTACTGTTACTACTATTACTACCACTCTCCACCTACTACTGCTGCTAGGATTACTACTACTGCTACTATTATTACTTGAAATAAGCTATCAACAAAATAAAAAAGAGAAAGCTAGAGTACCAACGCCACTGCCCAGAAGTGAAATGTTTAGAGGCATCCCCAATCTTTTATTGATGAAAAGTTACTTTTCATTTCCCTGAAATCTTAAGTCACTTTGGGGAAAGTGGAGACAGTATGGTAACAATGAGTTCTGTTAACAGAAGTGAGGAGAGGCCATCCTTGCTGGCTGTATTTCCCTGCCTGGAACGAAGACAGGCAACAAAAAAAAGAGTAACACTAGCAATTATCTTGGAGATCTACCAGGAAGAGCATTAAGATCTAAATTTTGGCACTTCACTCTTGGACAGCTGGAACAGAAGTTACTGGGAGGTTGTTCTGCCAGGGAAACTTCCATTAAAAAAAATACCACAACCAGTCTGTCAGACACCACCTGAACAAATTCTACTAACATGCAGGAGACACTATAGGGAAACACTACCAACCCCCTCACAGCATTTTTTAGGTTTGTAGAGTGCGCCATATGAAACTAACATGCTATTTTCCAGAATGTTCTGAAATGTGTTGTTCTTAAAAAAAAAAAAAAAAAACAATGTAAGGCCTCTGAAACAAGTCCAAATAGCAATAGATCAGGTGGAGATCACAATATTACCACAGCTAGCTTTATCAAGTTATATTTTAAAAGCTAATGTCATTTCACACTGCTAACTAAAACTTAACAACCTGTCTCTGAAGATACTTACCTAAGTTATTCAGGATAAATGAAAGCATTTAGACTTATCTATTAAAAATGAACAAGAGAAGCATGCCAAATACCTTAATATAGTATCACCAATCTTACTATAAACCAAAGTTATTCTAAATTTATTTTCTATTTGATCAAATAGTCATCAAAAAACAAATATTCTGAGAGTTCTTTTACAAAGGCATTTTAATTGATTTCTCAACATCTATGCATTGCCAATTTTTAAGTAAATCAACCACGATGGTCTTGCCACCCACCCCTCCACCTCTACACCACCAATGATAATTTCAGTAATGGTCAGGCCCATGCCAACTTAGGCTACCAGGATCTAGGGAAAGACTGTCTAGAAAATTTGGAAAAAGAAACTTTCTGACTCTAAATAGAGACATGTAAAGCCAGTGTCTGTCACCCCCAGAGTCACAAACAAAAAAGCAGAGTTCCAACTTTCACTGACAGTCTTATAGCCACAAGGAATCTAAGCCCTCCAATGACACCATTACTGTGAGTGGCAGAGATGAGAAGCAGAAAGCACCTGGATGTTTGATTCTAATTGTATGAACTATATCAAGTTTCTCTAGCTTCTTATTTAAGCCAGTCTTACATTTCTGCTCCAAAGCATCCTAAGTTATATGTTTTATTTTCCAAGTCTATTACTAGGTAAGAATTTCACCCATGCTCATTTAATGCTAGCAAAAAAAAAAAATTATCCTACCTTAAACAAGCTGATAATGCACATAACAGAGCCTCATTAAAACAAATAGGTACTAACAGTGAAACATTAGGATTTCAATAACTTTTAAAATAATTTCATATATTTTTCTATTTAAGATTTAGCTACAAAGTAGAACATTGCTAAAGTATTACAGAAACATACATCTTTCAATTTGGTATAGAAATGTACTTTTATAGCCCTCATATTGATTTTATTATTTATAGTTATTTTATTATAATTATTGACTATAGTTACTGCTTTTTAGGTGCAAAAAACATCATAACTTGTTATATCCTGAAGTATTCGCCATATTCATACTATTTAAGTCATAATAAAAGAAGAAAGGTTACTGCCTCTTACACAGCTGAGCTTAGTTATTTAAAATATCTTTAGAATTTTCTGCCAATTAGCAAAATTATGGAATAAATTATTTGTAACCTACAGAGAAGCCAACATTATTTACTTTAACCATTGATCATAGTTACATCTTTACCAGGCTAGATATAAACTGTTAAAATACAAATGAAGATGCTTCTAAAAAGTAGTGATTTAAACAATAACAGCAAAAAGACAAGAAGGTATAATATTAAAGCAGGGCAGAAGTAGAAGATACAAACTGGCATAACTAGTTCATGGAAAGTGGAAAAGAGCAAAAAGAGGAAGAAGGGAGTAAACCACTCAGAAGTATTTATAAAAAGGTCAGTCTCTATGATACATGCATAGATTGGGTGTTATATAAGGCAGACTGATCTTTTAACAAGATCACTTCAATATGCATTTAAAATTAGAGAACTCATGCTTTCCAAATGAAATTAGCCTATTTTATAAGCCGTGTGTGTGTGTGTGCGCGCGTATACAATTTTTGAGACAGAGTCTCACTCTCACCCAGGCTGGAGTGCAGTGACACTATCTCAGCTCACTGCAACCTCCGCAAACAATTCTTGTGCCTCAGCCTCCCCTATAACTGGGATTACAGGCATGCAACACCATGCCTGCCTAATTTTTGTATGTTTAGTAGAGATGGGGTTTCACCATGTTGGTTGGGCTGGTCTCAAACTCCTGGCCTCAAATGATCCATCCACTGCAGCCTTCCAAAGTGCTGAAATTACAGGTGTGAGCCACTGTGCCACACCTTTACAAGCAATATCAGATGAGCATACACCTTAGGTAACATTGTGGTAGGTATTTTTAAGATTAACTCATATCACAAATACACTATAGAATATAATTAAATTGGAGCTGAAGAAAGTAATGTATCCATTTGAGTATCCATCTACCTAATATATCCAATCTTCAAAGAGAACCTGGTTGGGCCTCAAAATAATGCAAATGGACAAACTTCACCAGGTATAGGGCAATAAAAGATAACTTCATCAACCAGAAAAGGCTCCCTAAAACCTAGGATCACTCCTTGCCAACGGACAAACCTAACCACAGCCGTAGTTCAAATAGACCAGGAGTACAGTAGGTGGGGCTGGTGGAGCCAAGAATGTGTGACTTCCTACTAAAATTAGTCATGCCCATTTCACCACAACTGGGTTGGGCTTCTCTATTTTAAGGTGTGCAGCTCCAAAGTGCTTAAGAGTATATAATTGCTGGATAGTTTCTGAAGCTAAAAGTGTCAGCAGACTTTCCACCAAGGCTTCAGGATGGCCAACCTGTCTCCACAAACCCCAATGCCTAATCATCATGCTATGCGGGGTCCAAGTACACAGTAAGTGAAGACATATGCTGTAAGTATCTAGAAAGGCATATCATGCAAGAACACATTAAAAGAAAATAAGCAAGAAAAGATATTCCTTATTCTTGTCTGCTACCCCTGCCCCCGTCACACACACGCACAATAACAAATATGACAAAAGTGGGGGGAAACGATGAAAATCATGATATTAAAGTACTATACTCTCATCTTTTCAGGAAATTGTACAGAACTGACAGCTGAAACCCTTCCAAGTAATGTCACACTATTGTTTACCTCCCTCCAAAAGTGCTGTGCTATTGGAGCAAATCCAACAGAAGGGGCTGGTCAGTCTGCCTTTTGCATTCCAGAAACATCAGAAGGGAAGTGGTATGGCTTCCATGGATACCAGCAGAAGAATGTGCACTAATGTTTTTAAAAAGACACTGAATTTCCAAATATAATGAAAGAAAATGAAAAGACATGCCCTTTAAACAAAACTAATGATAACTTTATCAACGAATGCTGAAGTTGAGTTGTAAGTTATATGAGCTTAACACACACCTGAACTCAAGCTGCACAGATAACATTCATGATTTCTACAACCCCAGGGCAAAGACTTAACACCTATTTTATTACTAGCAACTTGAGACACTCAATGCAGAATGCACATTTAGTGGTATTACTCTCCTATTACTATCATGTTCCAGCAGTCCACAATATTAACACTTGCTTTGACAGATTCAATCAATTATTTCAAGAATTAACAGAACAGGCCAGGCACAGTGGCTCACGCCTGTAACCCCAACACTTTGGGAGGGCAAGGTGGGTAGATCACTTGAGCTCAGGGGTTTGAGACCAGCCTGGGTAACATGGTGAAACCCCATGTATACAAAAAACTTGCAAAAATTAGCTGGTGTGGTGACATGCATTGGCAGTCCCAGCTACTCGGGAGGCTGAGGTGGGAGGATCACCTGAGCCCAGGAGGCAGAGGTTGCAGTGAGCCATGGCTATGCCACTGCACAGCCTGAGCAACAGAATGAGACCCTGTCAAAATAAAAAAGGAATTAACAGAACACAGAAGACACATACCTTCATTTTCAGAGGCATGACATTTCACTTTCAACACCAAGTCAAAGGTTCTGTCTGGATTTGCCCTGAAACAAAAGAGTTTGTTAAATTTATTTCCTATGACAAATAGTATCCATCTCTATGAAACTTGTATTTTCTTTTCTTTTTTTTTTTTTTTTTTTTGAGACAGTGTCTTGCTCTATCAACAGGCTGGAGTACAGTGGCAAGATCTCAGCTCCCTGCAACCTCCACCTCCCAGGTTCAAGTGATTCCCTTGTCTCAGCCTCCCGAGAAACTGGGAGAACAGGCACATGCCACCACACCCTGCTAATTTTTTTTGTATTTTAGTAGAAAAGGGGTTTCACCATGTTGGGCAAGATGGTCTTGATCTCCTAACCTCGTGATCCACCCGCCTCGGTCTCCCAAAGTGCTGGTATTACAGGCGTGAGCCACCGCGCCCAGCCAAAACTTTATTTTCTCAATTATAAAATTAATCTTGTTTTTGTCTCAATACATTTTATGTGACTATATTACTAGAATATAGTAGAAATAACAGTGAAAATGTTTTCTTAATTGAGCAACTTAAAAGAGCTGAGACCTAGGAATTCTGCAACTCAGGGCAAAGCATTTAGCCTCTGAAATTTGAGGCAAAGCATTGTTTTCCCTCACCTATGAGATACCTTGTCTACTTCACAGAATAACAGTGAGGATTAAAATCAAATAACATATATGCATGTACTTAATAAAGTACTAAGTGCTACAGAAATGAAAAGCATTGATTTTATCTTATTGGATCAAATTTAAAAGCCAGAGTGTCTCTAAGTGTCATTATACCCTGCCAACAGAGTTTGACACAGGTTCTCAATGTCTCTTCCAAGGACTTGCAGTGTAAGTGTAAATGATGGCATGGTTCCACCTGCGAAGTTCTAGATCACCATAAAACATTTATAGTGCGCCAGCGATGTGATACTTTGCATATACTTTTCTTGAGATGTATTTACTGTACTTAAGCGTATTTAAAGTAGCAAATAGCAAACTATTTGTAGCTCTAAGGCTAACAAAATAAAAAGCCTTTTTTTTTTTTAAATCAGTTATCTTCGGGAAAACTGGCCATCTGATTCCGTGTCAGATTCTCCCACTAGAAACTCTAAGCTTGCTTTGCTTCATTCAGAAGTTACTGACTTTTTTTACTAACTTGCCACATTAGCAAAATTTCAAAGCAACATTGGTTAAATTTCAAAATGTGAACTGAAATCCACTGAGACACTTTTTTTCATAACGTTGTTTAAATCTCTCGTTCCATCAGAAGGTAAAAGATTAAGTCTGATACCACAACCGCCAATGTGTTAATATCTGTTATTGCTACTAACAAGACCTTAGTGCCGTTGTATATTGGCTGTATTTAATATATACTTCCTTCAAGAAATGAGTGCCAGCTCTGACATTTAAAACATTTCTTCTTTTAAAAGCTTTTTTTACAAGACAGGAATCTGGAAACATAGGAAGTGACAAGACATATAAGTTAACTTGCAAATATCATTTTGTCAGTCTTCCCACTAATAACTTGTTTCAATGGGAATAATCTGGACTCCGATGACTTCCTCCCTCTTAAAACAATTAATGTCAAGAAGCATACTATTTTTACTCACTTACCCTGCCCACCATTATGTCAATCACACTGAAGAAAATAATTGTGTTACATAATTTCCCTCTTTCCCTAATATTCTTTAGAATCTCTCTTAGATGTAAAAGTTAAATATTGACTCAGTTTTACTTCTGTGAAATTCAAAGGGCCCTTCCCAGTAGTACAAATATACATGATATTATTTTAAACTTTGTGAGAAGGAGGTAGTGGAGGGTGGACAAGCGAAGAAAGAAGGAATTCTTTCCAAAGTAAGTTTCAGAAGAAAAATATAAAACTCATGCCCGTAAGATACTTAGAAACAAAACCACTACGGTTATCAAAATTGCTTTCTGCCCAGTCTCCTAAAGCAAAATAAACAGTCGCCGATAAATACTTTGGGACACATAAAAATATCCTCTAATTGGATACCATTTTGCAATGGTATCATGCATTTACAGTTCCTGCATAAATACCAGAAGCCAATTTAATTTTGTAAGCAGAATCGTAAGAAAACATCCAAGACAAAACTGATAAATACACTTAAGGAAAAGCCGGTTATCTTAATGCCAAGAGAGCACTCGGAATCACAGTGGCCGCCCAACCTCAACAGTGCCTCCCTCCCGGACACCGCACGCACACAGCAGCCCGGGAGAGCCACATCTGTCACACTCGGGGGAAGCGCGAGAACGCCTCGGCTGCGGTGTCGGGGCCACCCGGCCTCCCCTGTCCCCGGGAGGCGGGCGTCGGCGCGGCGCTAGGGGCCGCTCCGGGAGGCGCCGCGCCAACCCCGCCGAGCCCGGGACGCGGGGCGGGCAGGCTTTGCGGCCTAGCGCCGTCCCGCCGGCCGGCCTGAGGTTTGGGGGCCGGGCCGCACCCCCGCCCGCCCGGGACGCCGGCGGGGCGCCGAGGGGCGAAGGAGCCGAGCCGACCGGGAGGCGCCGCCGAGGGACGCCCGCCCCCACGCGCCCGGGCCCCCGACTCACTTGGTCCTGCAGTCCATGGTTACATGTCGGTGTGGGCTGCCCGTCGGCCCCGCGCGCTGGCCTGGAAGCCCGCAGCCCCCCGCCCACGCCGGCGGCCCCGCCGGGAAGAAGGCAGCTCACGGCAGCGGCGGCGGCGGGCCCATGTCGGCTGCGCCTCCGGCGCTTCCCCGCCTCCCACCCCACCCACCGGAGCCTTTCTGTGACAGCAGCGGCGCCGCCGCCCCCGTCTCCGCCGGTCGCCGCCCCCGCCGCCACCAAAGCTGAGGCCTCAGTTCCGGCGACCGGGGCCGCCCGCTGCGGCTGCTGCACCTTCTGCAGATCAGGAAGTCGCCGGGAGGGGGAAGGGGCGCGCAGGGACGCGCCCGGCGGCTTCACCTGGGCGGCGCGGCTGGCGAGCGGGAGACTGTTGTGGGGGCGGGGGCCGGGTCCCCGCGCCCAGCGGCAGAGGGTGCACGGGAGGGCTAGTGCCTGCCGGGATGGCCCACGGACCGCTGTGCCACCAGGCCAGAAGGGCAAGGTGCCCCCTGTGTCCTCGGCCTGAACCAACCGGCTTCCTTTCTGGGTCCAGTCCAGGCTCTAGGGCGTCGGGGCTGCAACCCCCCAAACGGCGAGGTACCTGGAAAACTACCTCGAACTGCAGTGTCTTCCACATCACATGCGCAAGGACTTGAGTTCCTTTCATTTCGTACTGCAAATTCAGAGCTCAAGTTGATGCCCCTGGCTCTTGCGTCACTCCAGCTGTGGCCTGCTTACAGCTCTCTGAAATCCAGAGCTACCCCCTCCTGATTCAGGAATGTTCACACATGTGCACCTGCTAAATAGCCCTGTCAAGTAGCCAAATGATAGTGCCCCACTTGCCTGCACATGTGGGAGGCTGACATTCCTATACCACGGACCGCAGCTAATAACCAAAGACTAACTTTTGAACACATGCACACAGTCGCAGACCTCGTAGACTGGCAGTTTAGGCGAGTTCAGAGAGGGCACCACTGAATAAGCGTGGGAGGGGCTGATTTACACAGCCCTAAAGCACATGTGAAGCAGATTATGCGCTCTCTCACCCAGTACTTGCCATAGCTGTGTGATAGGTACTTTCATCAGCATGTTACAGATGAAGAAACCAGTGAGTAATGGCAAAGCTGGAGTTCAGACCAGGTATATCTGATGCTGATTATTTACTTCTCCCTCATACTGCCTGTCTCCCTCCTCTGCTGTCTCATATTTAGGATCTACTGAGAAGGCAGGTAGAAAAAGTCTTATGATGGGCATTCAAATGGTTGTGGAAGGCCAGGCTCTTACACAGACCTCTTCCGGAGAAGGCCTTCTGCCAAGTCACACTGCCATCCTCGACACATAGCCACAGTGTTTCTTCCAAAAGGTGGTTACTTCAGACTTTATTCATACAGAAGTTAAGATGATGAGAGGAAACCAAATGTGGTATGAATGTTGTGTGAGTCATGAGACATAAAAGTCAGAAAAGGAGTCTCAAGAATTAAAAAACTTAGAGAACCTGAAGTTACAGTCAGTTAGTTATACAACCTTAAACTTTCTTGACAAAATTGGGTACTACTTGGTCAACAAAAAGAGAAATATTGTATAGCCATGGGTCTATTAGTCAAAAATGAGGACGGGCCATAACTAGGAAACCAAAAAAAAAAAAAGTGTTTATCATAAAGTGTCATCATAGCTTGACTTGGGGTGAGACACTTCAGTTTCTCGCTTCCTACATTTGTAAAATGGGAATTATTACTTGTATATCACGTGAGCAGTGTGATGTTCAAGTAAAAACGGTGCTACAAATTTGTATTATCTTTTGAGAAATTATTCTATGAGTATCAGTTTCACAGTTAGACAAACTATACTACATAAGTTTTCTTTTCCCAGATAAAGATTTTTTCTCCCTAAGTGACCATACTGCAAAGCTTTGGAAAAAAATTCTGTGAACTAAAAGCCACTTCTGCCCCAAGTGTTACTGAATTTCTCAAACTTCTCCTTTCATTTTAATTAATTATTTCCAAAGAAAGGAACCCTACTTGGGGTGACCATGCTGAGGACTTTTTTATTTAGAATGAGGAGATAGTAATACAATTGCTAACCTCATTCATTGTTGGGTTTTTTTTAAATGACAGTCGTACCCTTGCAAAATATAAAATTGTTATTTGTTTTATTTATGTTAAGTATATCAAGAGAAATACTACACATTCACATCCCTAAGAAAATATTTTTAAGCCAGCTTTTAGGCTGACCATAATGAAGAGATTTATCTGTTCGGATATTACTGAAGTAAAAGAGATAGAAACATAGGTGTACATGATTTACATGTATGAAGTCTTAAAAAATTTAAAAAAAATAGTATATACTTATCTTGGTAATAGGTTTAATGAAATCAGTGGTATAACTTTAGTAATACTCATTTCGTATAGAACTTCCCATATGACCGATAGAGAAGTGTGCATAGGGTAAACCTTCAGATTAGTCTTAAATCTTCCCAAGATCGTGCTTCAGCAATCATATTTCCTACTTGACGATTTTAACAGTTTTCAGGACTATACCGGTCAAAGAACATAGTCTATAAGTTATTAATTTTTTTAATGTTTTGAGACTTAAATGTGGTGTATGGTTAGTAAAGAATATATATTTTGCAGCCTTGGGTACAGTGTGCTAAATATATGTCCATGATCAAATATGATGATTATGTTGTTGACATCTTCTATTACTGAATTTACATCTACTTGACATAATTCAGTTAATGGGAGAGATGAGTTTAAATATCTTAACAGGATGGTAGATTTTTCTATTTCATCCTATAGTTCTTACAGGTTCTGCCTTACACAGTTTGGGGCTGTGTAATAACATACACAACAGTTTATAATTTCTATATCTTCCTGGCAAATAAAACCATTTATCATTATGTTGTTACTTTCTTTACCTCCAATCATACTTTTGCTTTGGAGTCTGAACAGTTTTCTTCTGAATAGTATTTGCCTGGTGTTAGTCTATCTCTTTTCATCCTTTTACATTCAAACCTTCTAAACCATCATGTTTCAAATTTATCTAAAATTTCTTTAATTTTGATTTTTAATCTAGTCTCATCATCTTTGGCTCTTACATCAAGCTTTCAGACAGTTCAAATGTATTAAAATTGTTGATAAATTTAGGCTGGGTGCAGTGGCTCACGCCTGTAATCCCATCACTTTAGGAGGCTAAGGCGGGTGGATTAATTGAGGCCAGGACAGGAGTTAGTATGGCCAACATGGTGAAACCCTGTTTTGTATTTCTCTACTAAAAATACAAAAATTAGCTGGGTATGGTGGGTGGTGCACGCCTATAGTCCCAGCTTCTCAAGAGGCTGAGGCTTCAGAATCACTTGAACTTGGGAGACAGAGTTTGCAGTGAGCCAAGATCATGCTACTGCACTCTAGCCTGGTTGACAGGGTGAGACACTGTCTCAAAAAAAAAAAAAAAAAAAAGAGAGAGAGAGAGAGAGAAATGCTGATAAATTTAAATCTATTTCTGCTGTCTACTTTTGTACTTCCCATTTATTTCCCCAATCTGTTTTTCTTTCACTTTTGCATTCTTTAGGATTATTATATATGCTTCCATTTCTGCCCACAACTCTTATAGTTTTTAAATCATTTACTCAGTTTCTATTCTTTAGGAGTTATCCTAGAAATTTTAATAGGGACATTTTAACTTATTAAAGCCAGAGTTTGTAACTATATCCACCCCCTCTCAAACAATACAGGGACCTCTTAAAACCCCCTTCAAAACTAAAATCACCTTCAAAAATACATTATGAATGTTGTTTTATACAGTCCATGTTTGTTTAGATTTACTCAAAACTTTACATTTACTTTGCCCTTCTTTTGTATTTTCATCTTAGATCTTCCATCTAAGATCACTTTCCTTCGGCCTAAAATTCTTTCCCTTTTTGTTTGAGTTAGAATGTATTTGTTTATCTCTCATTCTTGAAAAGTATTTTCACTGATGGAGAGTTCAAAGTTTACTATTAATTCCTTCTGCATATTATCAATATCATTACACTGACTTCTAATTTCCTTAGTAACAACTGGAACTTTGAAAGTAATCTTGAAATGTCATCTGTTTTTTTCTCTCTGACTGCATTTATGATTTTTCTTTTTGTCTTTAGTTTACTATAGTTTCACTGTGAAGTATCTAGGTGTAGATTTCTGTTCATCCATTTTTCTTGATTTCTTTGATTTTCTTGACTCTGGATTGGTGACTTTCATCAGTTCTGGAAAATTCTGGACTCCTTTCTTTCCATTCCTTCTGGGACTCTGGTTAATACACATGTTATTCTACCATCCATGTTTGTCAAACGTCTCTTTCATAGTCTCTCTCTCCCTATATCTCTAGGCTGTATTCTAGATAATTTGAAAAATATTCTCCTGTTCACTAATTCTTTCTTCAGCTTTGTCTCATTTTCTGTTAAAGTCATCCATTTAGTTTTATATTTATATTATGTTTATTTCTAAAGTTCTGTTTGGTTATTTTCTAAATCTATATTCTCTTAACTCAGATTTTCAGCCTCTGTTTAATTTATTTAAAATACTTAATATACATACTTTAAATTCTATTTCTAAAAATTTCAATATCTGAAGCATTTGTGGTACTATCTGATCTTTTTCCTCCTTGTTCTTAATTATGGTCCCTTGTTTTCTTCTATGTATGTGATTTGTTTTTATGTTATGTGATCCTTGGAACTTTATATATAGAATTTGAGTGAGAGCTGAAGTGAAAATGAGTTCTCTGGAGAAGATATTCATTTACTGATGGTAGATGCCTGGGATCACTAGCAATTCAGAACCATTTAATACTAAATTTTCAGCTTGAAATTCTTCAGACCATTCATGTGAGATCTGGTTTGTTGCTATGAATCCCCTGGGAAGCTTTTTTCCCTTAAGTCTGCTCCATTGTTTGAGACAATTTTCCTTGAATACCTTTTGGTATCAGCTTTATGAAAGGTATCCTATTGGATTTCCCAAATGAGGAAGGGTCTTAAGTCCGCTAAGATCATGATAACAGATGCTCAACTTCATGCAGCTTAGGAAAATCCCTAAAGATGAAAGGTGGCTCTTGTGGCTACTTTTATTTGTCCCCCCATCCCCCACCCCTAAATATTCCCCCACTTGATTGCCTGCTCATTAATGCATTGTAAACTTTTTAAAATACTTAATTCCGAATTTTTAGTTGATTTTCATGAAAGTTTTGATCAGACTACAATGAATGATTACTTAGTTCTGACTATGATATCATGTAAAATGGACTAATTGCAACTTTTTATCCACCTAATAACATCTACCTTCCTCAAGACATGTCCAAAAAGTCCCTGACTTATACATTAATGGTATAGAGAAACCCAAAGTCAGGGCTTTTAGTGA